GACGTGACTTAATTTGCGTCTGCCATTCAATTACTTGTGTAGTGTTGGCCCATGAAATGTGCGCAATCAGTCATCTAAAGTTTGAGATCAGACGGTGCAAATATTTCGTTGCAATGTTGCGGGCAACTTTAGCTTTAAACAGCAACTATCAATTGGAGATTCTAATTAACCAATAAAAGGCCTGATATCACGACCTTCCAGAAAACCGGAATAAAACAACCACAGCGTTGTTTTTCGCCGTGTGTTTGAGGTTACCGGGTGCTCAATTCTTATCCCACTCACCCAACTGCCAATCCCCGAAAGACCAGTGACGCACACGTAACTTTTATGGTATTGCGAGTGGCCATAGGCTGCACTAATTGCTTACCATCAGGTCCATATGCCCGTTACGCCCAATAGCCGTTCTTGTCACTTAAAAAAAGACAACTCGAGATATTTATAAGACCTACATTTTTAGCACTTCTGTTGATAGTCAATTACAAAGTAAACCTAGTAAATAATCAATATTAAACCCGTTCATAAAAAATGATAAACGTACGTAACGCAAACATGAATTATTTGCATTTTCCCGTGTATTGAAGCGCGGCGTCGCGTCGTGTGAACCGGTGGTTAATGCCTACAATATCGTCTCATTTGTTCTAGCTGAGTACGAGGGGGCAATTTGCAAGCATCGGTGTCATTGCGCAGTGATTAGAGTAATGGGCTGTGACGCCGAATGAGACATCAAACACCGATAGGGTGGAGCGCTTCTCACGTAATTGTTTTACTGTTGACTTTCGGCAATTTTACTTGTTCTTTTTTTGTCGTTGGCGATTTTGTTGCTCGATTATTTTGTGTGTGTTGCGTCGTGTGAACTCGGTCTTAGTGCTTAGGGACTAGATTCTAGTAGGATCTTCTATGTAATCGTTAAGCGTCTAAAGTAATCACATTGTGTAGACAAGTAAAGCTTAATTAGACAGGTCTTTACCTGGATGGCTGAACGTGATAGGGTATTACTTTTTTAACGTTTTCTGGAAATTAATCTTAGCCGTATTGATTTATCGCTCACGAAATCAACTGTAACTATACTTAATTAATTTAATAAAAAATCGTTAAGCCGTTTTCAAGATTCAGTTTATGTAGGTTAACATATAAACACACAAGAATTGCACGTTTAAATATATAAGATACTATCCACAAGTATTCAACATTATTCGCAATAAGTAGATCTAACTCGTAGATTTCCAATGAAAGCTCTCACTCACGTCACTACCGCCGGACGAAATCGTCGATCATCAATATAGCATAGAGATTCAACACATTCTTCTATTATTTAACATTACTTCAACAACGGTAGGTACAAACTCGAGTTATAAATACTGTTCAAGATCATTCAGTCAATGTCTGGCACCAGCTACCGTACCGACGGCAGATCGTATCTGATTGACAAATGGATCTACTGTTGTATTCCCTAGCATTTAGCTACCACACATACATACACATTTGTTAGCTCTTAGCCTTCTTGAAGAGCAAGTTAAAAATGCAAAGGAAATGTGTTCTTTTTTTAAATCGTATAAGAATTATTTTATTTATTTCTATCTAAGTAGGTTTTAATTAATATTTGAAATGCCACCTTTTTGCGCACATACGCAAATGTATCAATTTTCTTTTTTCGAAATTGACAGTTTTCTTTTTTTTATTGGATTGTATGTTATGATGTTTTGTTAGTTTTGCGTCCTTGAAAATAATAGTGACACTTATTTTTGATGTGATTTGATTGTGCAAATTGGCGGTAGTGCATCATTAATATTATTTTAAAATTCATATTTCGCATTCTGCCTTTAGGAAATTTTATATTTTTCGTTGTTATAAAAATATGTACTTGAAAGTGTACCCTTCACATTTGTAACGAAAGCAAAGATACTTCGTTTTAAGTCCCACTCGTTGGCTGCGCTCCCCGGCGTCACTTGAAACTTGAAATGCAACATGGAATATTTTGTACAAAAACATTACTACACTACATAAGTATTTTATAATTTCTCTCCTTCACTAAAAACGATCAACGAGAACAGATTATTATTCACGAAAAACAACTCAATCTCAGTTTAGACATCGATATATCTAAAAAATCTGACAATCCAATTTTTCATTGACCATAAATCATTTGCATCATTGAGCAAAAAAATCGAAATACGCGCTTAAATAAATAAAAAAAAAATACATCGTTAACACTCAACCGCTGAAAAATTACTCACATGAATATTTTCAATTGTCTTAAATCGTTGTTGGGTGAAACGTATTGAGCCTTATGTGTTGGTTGGTAAAAGTTATTTTCGTCTGGCAGTCGTGCGTGACGGTATAACTAATGATGTGTCCGAAGTAGTGCTTATTTATTCGAAATGTGAGCGAGAATAGCGTGTCGTGTTTTGGCCTTTGCCTCGTACGTACGCGATAGAGATTGTACAGTCGCTAGCACATCAACCTACACCAATTTCTTTAATTTCATCTACTAATTTTCGACTTTATTTTATAATGGATATAAAGTTCAAAATGTAACTTAATGTTGTTGGTGACTATACTTTTTGCTAGTTACCTAGCTCGTTATCTCCCTACATCGTTTATTGTGTACATACTCTTGCAATACTTCTTTTAAATTGTTCTGCTTGCATCCATTCGTCTATCAATCAGTACTAGAATAGGGACCTTTTGAATTCAAACTTCGAATAGACAAAGAAAACTCGTTCGTTTAAAGAAAATATGAGAAAATATTATCAAAGGACTGACAATGCTCTTGTTATCAAAATATAATTCAAATCATACTATACACATTTGGTTTTGCAATTGTGAAACATAAATACAAAAAGAAATCAGCTAATTAAAATATATTTTGGCACTGTTTTCACTTCACTTTTATCACGACCGAATACGTATTTATTAGCTTTCGTACAGATATCATGATCATCGGCCTGTTTCCGTACACCGCTGAATAACCACTCCACGTCGATGAGCTCGATGCTCGGCTCTCCTCATCCAACCTCTGCGAACCAACCTACGGATATCATCAGCCCATCAGCTGGAGGGCGTCCTACACTACGTTTGCCTAGAATACAGAGAATATTTTTATCTTACTGTGAGGTAGAGCCACTAAAACTTAATACAGTAAAAATGTGAATGAAGAACTTATAGATGCAAGCGAAAGTGTCAAAACATCTAGGTGTTGGTACAAGATTATAGCTAATAGACTGGTAGCCAGGATAAATTGAAGCGTCGACGGTACATGGTAGAACATTGTCATAGCCAAGCATGTTTCTACTTTCTACGGACCACCAAGACGGCTTTATCTCTTCGTGACAACGCGCAGTCATCAATCCTCCCGGCTCATTCTTTACACTAGTGCTGGGCGACATCGACTAAATACTATCGACTTTAGTATTCGATTGTTCATAACGATTAGTAAAATTTTGTGTTGAGCGTTACTCTTTAAGTAGGTTGTATTAACCTACTTATAGTCCCTGTAAATTAATAAAAGAGTGATTTATTGATATTTTTACTTCATTCAATAAGCTAATGGTATCTGACAATTACATAATTCAAAATTGTTTTTTTTATCCAGCGCTAACTTTTCAATGGTTAGATAAAAGTTATGTGGGGAATAATTATGATGCTGTCTCGTCAGAATCTTTGTATAAGACAGACAGTGACAACAACAATTTTATTCCTCAGATAATATTTATCTGGCTATTGAATAATCAGGCCCTAGTCAAATATTTAATTAATCGATTTAGTGACAAACAAGTGATGAGAACAAAACAAATTTCTTAAGACTACTCCATTGCCAATTGGCATGCCCTATTCGCTTAGTTACATTGATCTGATAATTATTCATCTAATTCATTATAAACGATTCTTCGTAATATCCGAAACGAAAATGATAATTTTACTTCTTGGGTAATGGGAACAACGACTTTATAAAGATGTTTTGACTGCCCAAAAGCCTGTAGGTTTATTTACTAACCTAACCTAAAAAATATAATATGTATTGTATTTCGTTACCGAATATTCAACTAAATCACATCACTATTCGGGAGGCAGGTCGCGGGCGGACTCAACGATTAGTCACAACAGAAGTGAGTTGACTGTCGTGAAAAATCATTTGTACTGACCCACATTCAATCATTTTGCTCCACTCTTGTCTTCAAAATTATTTATTTAAAATATTTGCGTAATGTGAACATAGTTTTTTAATATACAAATTTTATAAAAAGTAACATTTTACAGCTATACTCTTGTATTCATTATACTATCTAGGTACTATTTTTTTATTAATTATATTAATCTCTTTAATTGTTAAACATGCTCTCATTTCTTTGTGTATTTATCCTGCTACCTATCTGCAAAGTTATTGAACTTTTAGCTTTTTCCGGACAATCGCCAGTCGATTGCCACTTCGGGGCTAAGAAAGAAACGGGCATCTAAATTTGGCGTAAGGCAACATCGGCCGCCATGACGTGGGGGGCGGGGCCAATGCACGGCCGCGCGTGATTGGTCGCTAGATTCGCGCGCTCTTGCGCCGTCTTTGCTGAATCCTCACGTGAACATTATACAACTTCGGATAAAGTTGGTCAAATCGTCTAGGTTTAAAAATATGACCGTCATATGTCGTAACTCATCAGTTTTTCCTTTGTGAGCATATTTATTACAAGTAACAACGCATCAGACTGTTCTGCCTGCAACGCGGCGACTGAGACAGTCACGCATTGGCCGAAGATCTTGCTAATTACAGATTATATCTGCTCTTCGGAACGCTCAACGGTGGGCAAGAACGCAATCACGTGCCACAAAAACAAGACGGTCAGGAATCCAGCTTCCGCGTGCAATGCAGTCGGACGGAAGCCAGGACCGCCAGAAAATTTGGAACGCGCTGAGAGTTTTTCTCTGCGATATTTTATTTGCGAAGCTGTGCGCTTGCTAGCGTTAATTACCGTTTTTCCAAATAATAATAGTTATATTTTTGTTCACAGGTTTGGTTCCAGAATGCTCGAGCAAAATGGAGGAGAATGGTCACCAAGCAAGAAAGCAAGTTGTCAGACAAGTGTTCGCCCGATGCATCTCTCGAAATGGATTTATATCATGGCCCGATGGGGTCGATTCAGTCTCTGCCACCTCACAGCCCTCCCTACAGCGTAATGGGAGGCCCACCGAGCCCAAACTCCATGGATTGCCCCTAGCCTTCATTGAGCGCCTTATGAGCGCCATAAACCTTAATCCGTGTGGTACGCCAAGCCGCACTATGCGGAGGGGTGTGCCAGCAGCCTCAAGCGAGGCAAAACTTATCACGTCAGCAACCTAGACAGACAATAAAAACAAAAACAATATATAATCAAAACAGACATGTTTCAGAACTCCTTGTTCGTCGAATTTATTCCAAACAATTTTCTAATATACATTCATCTAAAAACTCTATTACACATCCAAGTCCTACAGACATTTATGACTTTCATAGTTATGAGCGAACACATGAAATTTTAGGATCAAAATTAGAACCTCTTAAGTGGAGTCCCACTTCCCTCGCATCACCCAATGTAAAAACTCCCACTTTCGGGGAAATCGGTAATCATAACCCTGTTTGGCAACCCGCTCAGGAGCAAATATATCCCTGTACATTTGGACAGAATAATCTTCAGGCTGGTTATGATGAGCCTCGATATCCTGATGATTCTAAAATGTATAGGTCTTCTCCACTTGCTTTAGAGACTAATCCTGAATCAGCGATGTTAGAACAACCTAATGAATTATATTTCTCACGAATAAACCAAACCCCATGGCACGAACAGGTTAATGTTAGCCAAATTCCAAATCAACAATTTTCAGTTCTGAACCATTATCCCCAAATAGCATCATATGAGCAAATTCCAGACAATTTATCAAGACAAGCTACTGTTAATAGCGGGCTTGCACAGACGAGATCGCTGCCCATTATAAATCTGACACCCCAACAACCAATTTTTGGTCCATCTAATTTCCAATCTTTTTCCCAAAGACCTGCTTATGATTCTGAAGACATTTCGCCAAGGCAAGCTGTATTAAATAGAGGCTTTGGGTTTGTAAATCAAAGTCACGTCCACCACCAGCAAATCAATTATCCATACCAGCAGCTACAATCCGATTTTAAGTTAAATACTTACAATCCTATGTACGAACCAATCTCTGAAGCTGTTGCAGTTAAACAAGAATATTTAAGGGCCCAATTGACAAATACTTCTTCACCCATACAGAGTGATTTTAGCCAAAATTTCCAAGATCCTTATGTAGTTGATTCTCAGCAGTTAGAAGGACAACAATTTTGTGATACGCAAAATCGACAGCCTCTTTATGGCCTGACCCCCCAGCCTTCAGTTTTTGTTGAACCTCAGCAATCTGTTTGCGACCAAAATACGCGAATTTTTCATGAGCAAATTCCCGAACAAGCAGTTGACAGACATGGATGTACACCAGCAACTCTCTCATGAGCAGTGTCAATGAAATGATAATCAGTGTGTTAGTGAAGTACTGTTATTGCCAGAAGTGAAAAATACTGTGTGAATAGACGTTATTTTTCTACATACAGACATTTTACTGATGTCTCCGGTGCAGTATATGATTAAATTGTTCTTATTATATCGACAATGTATGTAGTAGATGTTGAGTAATAAGTGTAAAAAAAAGTTTGGTTAAAATACAGAAATTGTCTTTTTTACATTTTATGCTTGAAAAATAAAAAAATTTTTTAAAGGTCAGTCGCGTCCTATATGATTACCTACATTGCTTGTTACATTAAAAAAGTGTAATGCATTCCACTATCTTTATCGAATTGGGAACATAGGAAAATGCTGTTTTTTAGAACATTGGCTGCGAGTCCTAACACCTTAGTACTACTAGTTGCTATAACAACTGAAGATTCCCATATACTCGCATTTATAATCGAGTTTCAATAAATTAATTTTATCGAGTGTCTCTACTTCATTGTTTTTTAAAGAAATTAAGAGTCGCAATACAAAGACTATTTTGTTTTGATTTGTAAATAAAGAAAATAATGATACATATAAATTATTATCCGAAAATAATAATGAGCGCTGTCTACGCCGGAACGCATCATTCTTCGTCGTGTATGGAACGCATCCGTAGCGCGAGCGAGAGGTTCGAGCTGCGCGCCTTCCGGCCACTGCCATTCTAATAGTCGCGACGAAAACACACTCAATTATTGTAAAACTTATATTATAATTAGCGATTAAAGAAGTACATCTGCAAAGGGATTTACTTATTTATATCGATCAAGCGCTGTAAATAAATTTTTAACGATTCATAGTTCCATATAGTACCATAATTATTATTATTGTAACGAATAATTTAACTTTTTATCATTTTTGATGTACTTAGATTTGAATGATAGGAGACTTGTAACTGACAATGCACTATTGTAAGTATATGCAATTATGAATGAAGAATCGCATACTATAGAATGGACTGTAAGTTTGGAATTGTTGTAAATTTAAAAGTGTATAAACTATAAGATGTTAGAAAGCTAACTTTGTTTAAATCATACTGATGTTAGTTTTCTGTTATTTTATTATTAATTATGGTTCTGTAACACGGTTCGTTGAACCGACAGAAATAGTTCGTCTAATAATATATTACTATTTATTTATTGACAATTTATATTTAAATTAGTTTAAGTTGTAGTTTGTAGTTAGGTAACATATACTGAATGTGAATGTTTTTCCATAGTTATAATAATTATTACCTAGCTAAGTTTAGTCATAGATAAATTTATTAGCCGACAAAATATTATTTAAAATCATCAATGATTTGCAGTTAAACATTTTGTTTAGAAATTATACATTTAACAATATTCCTACTGTGTTTTAAGTAGTTCTAAGCATTACTTGTTAAGTTAATTCCGGCTGAGTTAATGCACTTTTAGTTCCTTGTATAGATTTAAAGTATACATTAAAATAAATAATCCATATAATATATAAATATAATAGTAGTTGAAACAATAATGTTCTTCATTAAAATTAGTGTCAATAATAATCATTTTTTTATTATATAGCGTTCTTTGTCCACGTGTAATTATAATTATAGCATTTGGCAACATTTCGGAAACGGTTTTAATTTGAAAATTAAATTTCTGTGACTAAAAGTTATAAAAATCTGTTAAATAAAAAATAATTCAACTTTATTATGTATGTTTTATTTTTTTTAATTGTTTTCGGCCTTCATGACGTGTGTCATGTCCCATAAGATTGTTATAGGTAGGTAGGTAGTTAGGTAGCTAGGTGAAGGCCTATGGTGCTAGCTGTTTACGTCTGATGGTGATTTGCTTTGATTGATTCGCGTTTTTCACCTCACCTGATCTGTAGTTCTGGCGGCAACTCAAATATAATGACAATCCCTTTACAATCCAATTAGTAGATTTATTAAGAAAACAACTAGTCATTTGATCAATAAAATTTATATTATCTCTTATTGCACTTGACCCACCACGCCGTCTAGCCTGGTTTTGAATGCACGGTCGGCGCGGTGGCTGGGCAACTGGCTACCGAGCAACGTGTTGCAAGTCCTGTCTAGAACAACTCTTTATATGATCCACAAATGGTTGTTCCGGGTCTGGGTGTTGTGAAATTGTGTCACAAAACAGAAGAAAAAAAAAGAGTAGAAAAAAAAGAAATTTTGAATTTATATTTTAATTTAATTGTTAGAATGTTAATTAATAAATGGCTAGGCGTTCAGACTATTAGTTGAAAGGGTAATTAAGTAAGCTGGTTGGGATACATACTGTATAGCAACTTATCGGTGAAAATGTCAGCCATTTTTCTTATGGAGCACTTTATTCCTAAATAACAGTGAAGTAAACTTGACTACTTGATTTATTGTTTGAAAACAAGTAAGCAAATGCAGGTAAAGACTAAAATGAAGGCCACTTAATATACTGCTGACAGTCATGCAAAATGTTGGCATTTATTAAACAAATATTCTTGAATTACTTGTGATTCTCATAATAGCAATGCAAATACAAACTACATACTACCTCAGAGCAGAACACACATAAATAGTAGAATAGTGTTATATATTATATAACACTATACTTATAAAATTATACAAATGAGGAAGTCCACATTAATCTCTATATCTTATTTTAAAATATGAAAAGAATATTTTTTTATCCCAAATTTCGAACAGAAGACTATAAATTTTTGATGACTCAAAGGATAAAATAAAAAAGGCAAAATTGAAAACAAAGCACATTGTACACACCTTGACTAAAAACTGTCCTTGTATGGACCTCTATACGAGGCTATTTCAGGAATGCACATGAACCAAAGTTCTCCACCTTATCTCCTTCGAAGTAAGTATTAATTTCCTTTGTCGATGACCAGCAGAAGATGACCATTGCTGAACCAAGGATAAACGGTTGAGAGCCTTTATCCTCCACGGTATACGATTCCTCGCCACTGGCATCCAATGGCTCCTGGCGACTATAACAAGCAAAACAAGAAAAAATTAAAATGGGGCGGCTCAACAGCTGGAGTGATAGCACGGCCTAACAGAGAACCGGCGTGAAGCAAAGTTGCGTTTCGCCGTATGAGTGAGGTTACCGCTGGCCCAAACCTCTCCTCCCCCATCATCTATCTTCAAATCCTGAAATCCTTAATAACCTACAGGAGGCTGTTAACACACTTATTTATTGCCTTTGTAATACATGGGCGGCGCCGGTTGCTTACCATCAGGTAATCTGTCTGCTCTTTTGCTGACCTATGACATCAAAAATGAGATTTTATGTTCAAAATCTTCACAAACATTATGTAACTGTGTGGGTTTGATCAATGTATGCCATTAGTCTAGTACAACACGTACACGACAATGTAATCGAAAATACATACATAGTTCTTGTAGCAAAAGTTTTGCTAAACAACTAGAAGTTACAACAGAACGCGGTCAAACAGATCCTTCTGTGGCTTCAACATTGTTACCTAATAATAAATAAATTGTACAAAAATTCATATACATACTACAATAGTACTAAAATAAGAAAGTTTTGTTTCTATTCAATTTTGTTTGATATGAGGTCCTTACCTGATGGTAAGCAATCAGCACTGCTAGAAGTCACCCACAACATCAAAGAGTTACAAGTGTCCTGTGGGTCTTTTAGGGGTTTGGGTTGGGTTGGGTTTGAGGATATTGGGAACGGGTGCGGGATAAGTATTGAAACTTAATAAGTCATATCGAAATTACAGCAAATTACAGTAAAAGCAACTTAGCATGGTTTAGGATACACAAGGACATCATTTGATTAAAAAAGAATCTTTTAGTAGAATTTGCACTTTCTAAAATCATTATTAAAAGTATTAATTAAGATAATAAACGTTACTTTTATGCTAATAATAATAATACCACAGATGGGGTCCTAAAGGGTCGATGTTCAACCACGATTGCGTACTGCCGCCCCCTACCTAAAATAGGAAAATGAACGAGGTTCTTTAGTCAGTAAGAGTCTAACATTCCCTTGACGACAGAAGTCTTTTCATGACTTACCCCCATAAAAACGAAAATGTTAATAATAATACTACATTAATGTGCCATTTCACTTATATTAAAATTTTTCAACGGGCTTCTGTGAGTTATTTTCGGCCCCTCGTCGTCTTCCAAAGGTCCGGGAGCCGGTAATCCCGTGAACGGAAACGAACACAAAATACTACAATAATGATACTTATTTTAATTAAAACATTTTAAAAGAAATAATGAAATATTTGAGTGTATGTAACTGCCGCTAGTTTACACCTTTGTTGCTAACTGTACTGAGCTTTCCTCAGCTTTAAAATATATTGTTTAGTACGTAAGTACAATCACAAACTGAAGTTTCTGAATACATTATTAGATATAGATATACGAAAAATATTATTTCACATTTCATATTTTATAAATACTTACTTACTTAGATACATATTGTAAGAAAGAAATGAACGAAGAATATTCCAATAAATTCCCAAAAACCTCGACATGAACTAAATGGTACCTAACTTCAATCAATATCCAAAAAATCTTCATTAAAATATTATTATCTTTATTAAAATATTCTACAGGACATTTTTTTCTATAACCAAATTCCATAAAATCTAAAAAACGGCGCAAAATAATTAGAATAATATTTCCAACTTTGAATCTCACTGTACCTGAACATAACGGGTGTATTAACTTCAAGTAATTGCCAGGATACTATTACCAACTAGGTAACAGCTAGACACTAACTTATTAGCCCCAATAAATTATCCAGAAGAGTACTGAAGAAAATCAACAATGCACACACTTGATAAAGGAAAAACAACCTTACTGCTAACAAAACAAAGAAGCTACAAATATCGGTCTATTAGAGTGACATCATATTTTCACGCTCATTAGTTCACCAATCAATGGAATACCAATGATATAATTAACTTGACAATTCCCTATAATAAATTACAGCCAGTCCTAGATTCCTCGTATGTTCGCAGTTTGGTTGTCACAAAGAATCGCCCAGAAGCTTCCTTTAGAGTTAGTGGCTGTCAGTGAGGCGCGCGCGCTGTCCTGAGTTATGCTCATTTAATTAAAACAATAAATAAACCGCAGCTGGGCGGTTGGGTGGTCCCATCGGATGCCTCTTTTAAAAATTCCAACTTTTATCAGTACGGAGAATATCTTTTTACGTGTAAAACTGTTTCCTTATATATGTGGTGGCTGAGATTGAGGTCTGTTTGGGTATAAAAGGTCCTTATTTAGTACGGACCATCATTTATCAATTAGATGCAGCGTTGGTTCTCGCTTTTCGCGGCTGCTAACACATTTTTTGACTGTATGATTCAAATTAGGTCTGGTACGAAAGCAAAATGTTTATATAAGTATAAACATTTAAATTCAAAGCATAGGATGTGGTGGAAAAATCTACAAATTAGTG